CAGGCCTAGAACTTTCATTACCCAGAAGGGGTTCACATCCAAAGCCTGCTGCCTCACCAGCAGTTCAGCTTCATCTTCTTCCCTTTTAGACCTCACTCCCAATACACATGCTATTTGGTGAGAACGCTGCTCAGATTTTTTCTACTTGTTTTTTTCGTCGATAATTCCTTTCATCCTGCATATTTGCTATTTTCAACGCTGACCACTTTCCTCAAAGCCCCAACCCACCCTATGCCATCCTTATTATCAGCAGATCACCTCAACTCTTATTTATTTATTTTAGAGAGAGAGAGGGAAAGAGAGAAGCCTCAATGCCGGAAGCTAATTCCAGCATGTCATAAATGCAAGAAGTTTCATCAAAAGGTTGAGGGAACTTGGGGATGCAGCAGGGCTGAATAAATATTACCTGCTGCTGGAATAGCTAAGGGCATTTCCCCACACCTAAAGATCTGTATATATTATTGCCTGTTACCAGACAGCTGAGGGCATTTTAATCTACATGTTATTGCCTCCTGCTGGCCAAACATCTGAACAGCCGAAGGCAGTTCCCCCAAAACAGACAATGCCTACTGTATACTAAATCTTAACCTTTGATACCCTATATAATAAAAGAGAAACATGTAAATTGACCATCCCTCCACAACACTCACCAATTAATCAGGAGTGAGTATGCAAAATAATCCGACAAAGATGGCGGGTTAATTTGCATGCACAGGCGCCAGGTGGAGAGCAGAGCAGGAGAGCCGGCAGAGAGTGGAGCGGCTTGGGGAAATTGGCTCCCCAAGCCACCAGATGGAGAGAGCAGAGAGGGAGAGCTGGCGGCTTGGAGGACTTGGCAGAGTGGGAGACCATGGTACGGAGACAGAGCAGGAAGGGAAAACCAAGATCGCGGGGAGCACCAGGAATTCTGGGAATAGGAGTTTTGGTGGCAGCCCCACGACCGGAAGTGGAAGCCCAGAGAGCAGGGAGCACCAGGAATGCTGGGAATCATAGTTCTGGTGGCAGATGGATCTCCTAGACACTAGAGCAAAGTGAGCCTGGAGCAAGTTACTGTTGCGGTGGGGAATAGAGGGAAAGCAAAGGTGAGAAACATAAGTGAAATCAGAGTGTCTAGGAAAAATTAAAGGGAAGATATCCTAAAACTTTCAGGAAATCTCCACCAATGGAGCAAAGAAAAAAAAGCCTCTGTTATTCTGTGAGCAACAAACCAAACTGAGTTAGGGTCTCAGACAATTCGCTCATATGATTGCAAAGACAGACAGAAACTCCCGGATTAGAGAGGGCTCCCCTGAGAGCTCCCAGGTTGGAGAGGGTGCAGGTAGGGCTGAGGGACCCCCACACCCCCAGTGCATGAATGTCATGCACTGGGCCTCTAGTGTATATATACTTTGCCTTGGGGCAATTTGTGTTAATAAAGAGCAAGGGGTCCAGAGATTCAGAGAACTTGGTTCCTACAGCTAAGCTCCTCTGGCTCACCCATGGATTACAAATTTATATTATATTTCTAGTCTCTTTATTAATTTACGCTACAGCACCTTCTCCAGATTCCTGAACCCTTCTAGATGCAGAGAAACACCCACTGCACCTCAACTTGTTGTTCTACACATTTACGCATTCATTGGTTGATTCTTGTACGTGCTCTGACTGGGATCGAACCTACAGCCTTGGCATATTGGGACAATGCTCTAACCAACTGTGCTACTGGGCCAGGGTCTCAACTCTTAATTAACAGATAAAACAGAGGTCAGGGAGCAGGAACTACTTTGAAGACTTCCTTCCCCCTGCTCCATGGCAGTAACCAACTTCACCTCCTTTATTCTAGCCTCAGGAGGAGACCCCTCCCCCAGTCCAGGATATTGTTCCTGCTTATTTTCTCAATCCTATATTGGGCCGTGGCCTCCAAATCTCTGCTCCATCAAATAGCACTTGTCAAGCCTCTAATTGCAAGCTCTCCCTCACTACTGGCAGATCATATGCATTTTAATGTCAGTAGATACCAGCAGACTGCTCTCCAAAAGGACTGTTACATCGTGGCAGATGACTGGATGCATGTTTCCAGGAGAGGTTAACCTGAGGAGAGAGTTGGGGTCAGGACCCTTGCCCAGCTGAGAACAGAAGCGCCCGAACTGCGAAGACGTTAGATTACATGCTACTAAACACAGACTGTCAACCTCCTTTGCTCTCAGCACGTCAGCAGACAGGCTTCGCCCGCTCCTCACACAGGATGCTGGGAGATTTCTTCCTGGAAACACGGAGCAATCCTAGAAACGGCTGCAGATACTGAAAGTTGGACACTCTCCAATGAAATGCTACTAGGTCCCTACTCATCACACCAAGCTGAGGATGACCTAGGGCGACCGACCATCCTGTTCTGCCCAGGACTATTGCGGTTTTAGTAGCAAAAGTCCCATGTCCTGGAAAACCCCTCAGACCAGGATGGCAGGTCATCCTAGGCACACCTGCTGATAAGTCCTGCCCCTAAACACCGAGCTTCTAATCATTTTTGTGTCTTCCTTTTAGAGATGAGAGGGCAGTCAAGGATTACCAAAACATTTGAAGGAAAGCAAATACTAATGCAAATAAACAGAAAGAGCAACACAGAAAAAACTAACAAATGCAAGAAGCCAAAGACAATGAGAATGTACCCACAACGCAGGAGACTATAAAAAAGAAGAGAGCAGAACTCTTAAAATTGAAGTATATGAGTTTCTTGTTTAAAGGAGTCCACTAAAACCCAAATGTAATGTATGGAAAAACAATCATACCAAGGTCTTGCACTGAAAAGTTTCAGAATCTTAGAACAAAGATCTAAAAAAAATTTTCGGTGGGGACTTCAAATACAAAAGATCAAAAATCAGAATGATATCAAGGCAGCTCTGAATTCTGGGAAACAATAAAAATTCCCTCCCAATTTTAAGGAAACATTATCTCCAACCTAGATGTCTAAGTTATTTTCTGACATACTAGATCTTTTAAAAGATGACTACTTCCCATGCATCTCTTCTGAGAAAACTACTGGAAGATGTGCCCCCACCAGAAATAAGGGAATAAACCAAGACAGAAGAAAATATGGGATCCAGGAAACAGGGAATTAAACCCAGAGAGAAAAACGGAATCCTCAAGTGGTTTGTGCAGCAGTCAGTGGCCTGGGGAGCAATCAATCCAGATTGGGGCCAAAGAACAAAGTCCTAGGAGGGAGATCACCCAGAAAAAAAACCGAACTGACTGATTCCTCAAATGCACTGAGGAGATTTTTTTCACTTGTAGAGAATAATTTTAGGATAAATTAAGAGATTAAAACATAGAAAAACTAAGCAAATGAAAGAGACAATCATTAACTCAGAGAAAACAAACAAAAATGTACAAGAATATAATCATAATACCCTATAGACTTAGCTATATATGATTGATACAATATAATAAGCTATAACATATTTACAGTTTCATTTTTAATCTTTAAGGATGAGATAAACATATCTATATATATAAAAGGCTAGTATGCTAAGTGTCCCTCCAACTGTCTGACCGGTCACTATGATGCACACTGACTACCAGGGGACAAAAGCTCAATGCAGGAGCTGCCGTGACATGCACTGGCCATTACAAAGAAACGGCACCGCAGACTGGCACCCACAAAGCAATACTTGGCTTCCCCCAAGTGAGACACAGGCCCCGCCACCACCCCAGAGTGACACCCCACCAAATCGCACCTAACGCTGCCAAGACCCCATGGCGCAAAATGCAGCCCACAGCCCAGCCCAGCCCAAAAATGGTGGCTGCGAGCACCGGGTAATGACGTTACATAGCAACTCCCAGCTTCCTCTCCCTAGCAACCAGCCTGCTTGGAATTTCTTCAACCCAGGAACACGACTTGCTTTATAGCCAGGTGCAAACATTTCACACTTTAACCAAATGTCTGTGAAGCGTTTTCCCATGCCTCATCTCATTTGATCCTCACAGAAGTCCTAGAGTAGGTAGATAGGAGACTCGGTAGAATCCTATTTTCTTTTCATTAGCCGGAAAACAGAGATTTAGAAAGTTTAGAAACTTGACCCGACTGAAAAGAAGTAAGAAATGGTGGAACTTGAAAATGACTTCAGGTTTTCTCATTGTGCAGAATATAGTCAAACACTGATGTAGTTAAATATTTCACCCTTTGTTCTCCCTGCGTCATCTATAATAATAATCTGTTTTGTGTTGATATTTACTGCTGTGTTGCTGACAATTACCTGAAAGAGAAGTTGGGGTGCTTCACTGGGCTGGAAAAAGTTTAGCTAAATCAGAAAGCAGGTCTAATTAAGCAAGTTTATCTATATATATAAAGCTCTCGCTGGTGCCAAACACATGTGTTTCCACCTGTCATTGTTGATCATGAACTTGGTTGATGCTTCTATTATAGAGAAAGGGCGAATAGCGATAGTAAAATATTTATTCTAATTAATTTCCTTTCAACGTGCAGGAATTTGTGCACCGGGCCTCTAATATATATAATGTATATGTTCATTTATTTTTCAATTCACTTACAATTCAAAAAGTGCCTTGAATACCTACGATCAAGTATCCACCCCATACATTCTATCGACAGTGATCCAGTAAAAGTCACAAATGACACAGTTGCCAAATCCCAGAATAAGTAAACATTCTACACTAAACTCATAATCATCTTGAAACAAGACAAAAAAGTTAGTTAGAAAACTTTGAAAAAATATTTGACAAAGTTCTAATTATTCTAAAAATTGTAAAATGTGAAAACATTCCAAAATTAGGTGTATGTATACTTACAATTGTGATATCTATATAATGAACAACATAAATTATATAAAAAAATGTGTACAAGGACAAAAAAGCTCAGCCACTCAACTACTAAGAGTGGTTGTTATCAATGATTTGAGTGATTTTATTTCCTTCCATAAGCCTTTTCATATGTACCAAATTCTCCTTGAGATCAGAAGTAGTTATAAGTATCTATACAGTCTCCTCATCCAGATTTTTAAACTTACCAGGAATAATGAAAATGAGCAGCTTAGGCCTGTTGGCACTTTGATCATTAAAGAGGTTAGTCCAGGGCCCACATTTTAGAACCTGGGTTTCAACTCCACAACATAAAGTGAATTCCTCATGCACAGGAATTTCTTCCTTGATTTCTGAGTTCATTTCTAAATAAGGGAAGAAAAACAATAGCAAGAGTCACTAAAATGTAAAACCTGAAGCCAAAGACAATATTCAAGAATAAAAATGGCAAATTTCGACATACCTAGAAGGAATGCCACAAGGAGATATGGGAGATAGATTACTATTCAGCTACTATGGATTATAGGATTGCATAAATATATGAATGAAGTAAACACCACGAAACTAGAAAGAAGCAGGGAGACAAGACCTTGATGAAATAAGACTACAGAGGAGTGTGGATCAAAATCAGATTAGCCTTTTGTACAATTCTCCTCTCCAGTCTAAACCAGCGGTTGCCAACCTTTCAGACCTCATGGACCATCAGTGGTCCTCGGACCACCAGTTGCAACTGCTGGTCTAAACCGACAATAACCGTGGACAGCTGCCGCTTTCCCTCTGCTAACATTCGCTTAGAACTCGGAGCTTTGCCAGCGGGACAACCCTGCCTTCACCTGGTGAGAAACCACAGGAGTTGTGGCTTGCCCTTTTACCTTCCAGGGAGAATTGTAAAGAGGGTCAGTGACCTTGATGATCTGTTTTCCTCTATTAATCCTCTCACCCTGAACTGTGTAAGCATATTTGTATGCATTTGTCAAGCACCATGTTATCTACGCTAATAAAAGAGAGACATGCAAATTGGTGTCACTCCACTACGCCCACCAGCCAATCAGGATGAGCATGCAAATTAACCCAACAAAGATGACAGTTAATCTGCATATGCAGGCACGGAGTGAAGACTGAAGACTGAAGACAACTGAAGACTGAAGACACTGAAGACTAAGACGACTGAAGACTAAAGAGGCTTGGCTTCTCCGCTGCAGCCGGAGCGAAGGCCTGGGTACCGGTGCCGGAGGAAAACTGGTGCCGGAGGAAAACCGGTGCCGGCAGCCAAGGGAAGGAAGGCCTATTGCACGAATCTCTTCGTGCATTGGGCCTCTAGTTAAATTATAAAATGGGTAGGTGGAAAGCAACAGGATGAGACAACACCATGAACGATTTCCTGAATCCTCCAGGTATGCGGAAAAGTGCAGTCCCAGTGATTTACATCACTCCTCCACCTCTGCTCTGCCTTCCCCGTGTCCATCAACAGGACCATGGCTCAGGCGTTCAGTGGTCTTTCTATCCTCCTCCTCAGCTATCCTCCATTCATTCCAAGTTCTCCAGAGTCCAGATTCCCAGCCCCTTAGGGCTTTTTCTCCTCTGACCACTTTTCACCGATCTTGCACTCTAGTTTGTCCTCATGCTCTTCTGCTCCTGTAACTTTGCTAATCTTCTGTTGCTCTGCTACTTCTGGAATGCTTTCCCTGCTTGCACCAGTTATGAATATATTGCTTCAGCTCCAAATTCACTCTTTGTTGCCTTCTCTGGAAAAAATGGATCTGGGCCTTTTAGATATTTCTCCTCTGCCAGCTGACATCATGTTAAGCTTTGTCAGAAGAGACACGACAGAGGAAGGGCTTTTCTGGTTTCAATGTATCTCCCGGCAGGTTTATGGAGCGCTTGCTTCCCCCTTTCTCCTTCTGCTTCTCAGGCTGTGAAGTCTCACTAGTGCAGTGGTTTCCAGTTGGAGACTACTGTGCCTCCAGAAGGCATATGGCAATATCTGGAAATAGTTTTCACTGTCATAACTAGGGGAGGGGGTACTACTGGTGTCTAGTGGGTAGAGGCCAGGAATGCTGCTAAACATCCTACAATGTACAGGACAGCCCGCGTCCCCCCACAACAAAGAATTATCTAGCCCCAAAGTTCAAGAGTACCAAGGTTAAGAAAACCTGCTTTAGTGGAGCCTATAGAATATAGCTTTCTCCAGCATTTGGCCGCCTGCTACATTCTTTCTCTCTCCAGCTCTCTACTCAGGCAGCAGCAAAGTAGCACAAGTCCAAGGTGTAGGCTTGTGCCCCAGACCAGGTGGCTGCTCCCCATACCCTCTCCTCTGCCCAGAGTCACATGCTGGAGACACTGCCCAGACGGCCTTCTAAGAGCCACCTGACCTTTGTCCCCCACAGCAGCCTGGACCTTGCCCAGCAGCGCTCTAGGTGGCTGCAGAGGAATGGCCATTGTGGCAGTCTCCACAACAGTGCCCCGAAGTTCTCTGTACCCACCTCCTGCCTCCCTCACCTGCGCCCAAGGTTTACGACTGTGGCCCTTCCATCACAGACAAATTATTGGTTCTAATTGATCCATCTGCTTTCTAACATTTCTAACAGCTCACTTTTCTAGTCTCATGTTATGTTGCCTCTTCCACTTTCTTCATTTATGCCTTTATTACTTTTACTGTCATTTTAGTGGACTTAGGAATCCACTGATGTTTCAACCTCCAAGTGTAATCAAAAGTTCAAAATTGGTTTTCTTAAATAAAACTACTTAGAAAATAAAAAATTCTCACTTAGAAAGTGCAGACTCCTCTCCATTCAAAATATAGTGACTGACTAAATAAAAGCATCAACTCACCCTTTCTTATGGATTGATTTTTTACTTCACTAATAAATGTCATTGTAGCCCAAACTCCAAAACTATCACAAAACACAGTATAATTATGAAGGTCCTATGACATTTACAAAGTTAGAACCAGTATAGATTTAGCTGTTATACACAGTATTAAATTAGGAAATTGACAGAAATGCACTGACCAAACTTAATACTTGCACCTGGAGAGAATCAAAGTTATTAACCATATTCAACTCACAAACACTTAACTTCAAGCCCAAGGCATCTCAGGAGTCTGATTAGCCACAAGATCAATGAGAAATCAAGTAGATATGAAATTTAAACACAGTCTATAAAAATTAGAAAACAAACTAAAAGCAACTAGACTCTAAAACACCTTGATTATATATGTAACTGAGAAACATGGAGTTAATGTATTTATTTGTTAAGTATCTTATTCTATCTACTTCACTCTTATGCTTCTGTATGCCACACAGCCAAATAAAAAAGCGAAAGAAAACAGGGTATGAGAATTCAGATTATTCCTTACCGAAGAATCCAAGGTAACTCAGTTCTGCAAACAAGTGTCAGATGAACCAAGGACAGTGCTCTAATTACATACTAATAAAGGCTGATGGCCCCACCTTCAGCCAGTTTTGATAAGCAGCAAGACTCAGGCTGGATAAAAACCAAGTGTGGATACAATTTGTACAACTTACGCAAGCCTGATATACCTAGATATCCGGGTTCGTATGCTTATATTAATGGGTTTCTAATGTTATTTAGTAAAATAATTTTTTTCCAGTTATATCTTATACAAACCTAGGCAACATATAAAACAAAAACACTTTGATCAGTATACATTTTAGAGATTCAAATTTATAGTATCTACTAGAGGCCCAGTGCACGAATTCATGCACCAGTGGGGTCCCTCAGCCTGGCCTGCGGGATCAGGTCGAAACTGGCACTCCGGCATCCCCTGAGCGGTCCTGGATTGCGAGAGGGTGCAGCCCAGGCCGAGGAACCCCACCGGTGCACAATCAGGGCTGGGGAGGGACACAGGAGGTTGGCCAGCTGGGGAGGGACCACAGGAGGGCTCCAGGGCGTGTCCGGCCCATGTTGCTCAGTCCTGATCAGCTGGACTCCAGCAGCAAGCTAACCTACTGGTTGGAGCATCTTCCCCCTGGTGGTCAGTGCATGTCATAGCGAGTGGTTGAGCGGCCTTAGCATATCATTAGCATATGACGCTTTGATTGGTTGAATGGCCGACCAGACACTTAGCATATTAGGCTTTTATTATATAGGATTTATTATAAAGCCAGCCAATGAGAACAATGAGGCTGTACAAAGGAACAAAAACATTTAAAAGTGAAGTTATTTCACTTCAGCATGCAGTATTGTCTGCATTTTATTTTGGCACTCGGCTTTACCCATTCACGTAAGAACTACAAATGAGAAAAGCTTTTTAAAACTTGTGTTTCAATGTCCAGTAGTTTTCAATTAAACTACATTACACTTGAGAGGCAGTGAGCTATTTATATATGTAAGGCAAATAAAAAGTTCCTGAAACTTCTTCTAATGATAAAAACTTTACATGTAATATTATGATACTGATCCATTCTTACACAGAGCAGAGCATACACCTAGCATGTGTCTGAGCCTTGACTGGAAATTAATTTGTGCTATTCCTGGGCACTAGTATTAAACCTACTTGTAAAATATTTAGTGACTGAACAAGTGAAGATTAAAATTTTAAAGGCCCAGGGAAGAGACACAAAATGTGTAATTGCTATCAAAACACAATAAAAGAAGTACAAATATATACAAAAAATGGCAGTGGAAGCTTTATTTCAAGTTCCATTTTTTTAAAATGTAACCTGTAGCAAACATGAAGATGCTGGTGATCTCTACATATTGAATGTTTGTTACATAACAGAGGTGAATCTAGGAGTTGTTTTAATTAGATGGGTTTGTGTTGTCTAAAATGTGCATACATTAAAATTAAGTTTAATCTTGCTTTAACAAGGAAAGTCTAGCTTGTTTTAAAACAACCTTCCATTGAGAACAATCTGAAAAGCCAGAGAATATATTGGGGGGAAAAAAATCTGTTAAAAACAAAACAAAACAGTAACCACTAAAAGAATTGTACCAGAATGTGTAATAACAAGGTGATAAAAGGGGAAATAGAAAACATAATATAAAAATGAGAAGAAATCAGAAAATACTGACAGGCATAACAAATAAAGAATAAATATTAGCAATAAGTTAAATGTAAATAGACTAATTATGCTAATTATATTAAAAGGTAAAGATGGTTAGGTTAGATAAAAATAAAACTAGTAACTATATGCTACTTATAAAAGATACACATTAAGAATAAGGACAGCCCTACCAGTTTGGCTGAGTGGATGGAGTATTGGTCTGTGGAACAAAGGGTCCAGGGTTCAATTCTGGTCAAGGGCATGTACCTTGGTTGCAGGCTCTTCCCCAGCCTGGGGCCCTGGTTGGGGCTCATGCAGGAGGCAACCAATCAATGTATTTCTCTCACATTGATATTTCTCTCTGTCTTTCCCTCTCTTTTCTTCTCTCTCTAAAAATCAATGTAAAAATATCCTCAGGTGAGGATAATAATAATAAAAAAAGAATAAGGACACACCAGGAAATAAAGGGAAAGGATATAGAATAATATACCATACAAATACTAATCAAAGGAAAGATGATGTAGCTATACGGAAATCAGACTTAAAACATAATCTTTAAAGTAAGAAGTATACGAGAGATAAACAGAGACACTTTGCAATGACAGAAAGCCAATCCATCAGGAGACCGTAACAATTATAGATGAACATGCACCTAATACCTTAGCCTCCAAAGGCACAAATTAAAAACCGACAGAAGTAAAAGGAGAAATAAATAAAACCATAATGTATAGTGGAAGATCTAACAAGACTCTTAGTTCCTGACAAGATAAGCAAAGAAAAAATATCAGCAAAAATAAAGATTTGAATAATGAAATCAAAATCATCTTGTTTCAAAAATCGACCCTACCAACCCTACAGCCTGACTTCCCTGTTTCCATACAGAGCAACATTATTCCTCCAGTTACCTAACTTAAAAGCTTCTTGAACAGCTCCTCCTGTATTCTGGAGGAATACCCATACACAAGAAAAACAGAAGCCAGCAAAAGGATGAAAAGGAACAATTAGAAATGGGCATGAACTAAGATATATAAAGCCATGTAAGCCAGGAGGGAATGTTTAAAGAAAGGGTGGGGCTGGTAATGAAAAATTAAAAAAATACAAATGTCAAAAAGAGCAAGAGAGAACTGAGGCAAGAGTAAGAACTCACATTTTAAGAGTACTTTCTATCATACAGGCACTGTGCTAAACACATTATAAATATTGTGTCATTTAACCCTGACAACAGTCCTATGAGATGGGTACTATTATCTCTATCCCAACAAAACATGTGAGGAAAAACTTGATTGAAAGACCCTGCTTAAGGCACACACTGGTAAATTGGAATGTGGTAGAACCAGAATTTGAACCCAGGTGTCTGAATGAGCTCATGTTCTTTGAGGGAGGTTAGCTGAATTATACAAGGGGACCTCCTTGTAGATTTTTTTTTTTTGCATTGTCCTGTGCATCATAATAATTTCAAACGTTTTTAAAACCCCAATAACACATTTATTTATTGCAATTTGCATAAATAGAATGAAAGAGAAAAAGTGGGAATTTGACCACATAGCCCTTCATGCCTCAATACAGCTGGAGTCAACACATAAAACAGATACATAAACAGAACATCTCTCCCATCTTTCTCCAGAATAATATGTCAGAGGAAGTAATCACTTGCTATATCCTGACATGATGATAATCTCACTGCCTGCAACAAAACCACCTTCTTTTTCTGTAGTTTTTTCATTTGTGAAGTACATTCTCATCCTTCTCATCTTCATCATCCTCATACAGCAGGAGCTTTTCCAAGTAGGCAGTACAATCAATGGAGTAAGACATTGAAAGTTAAAAATTATATATTATTTGTCTGTGGTTATAGGGCTTTAAAATGGCCCAATCAACTCAACCATCTTCTGACTCCTACTCTAGGAATTCCCAGTCACATACTCCTCTGAAATTTTATGCAATACTGCAGAATCTGAGAAAGAAACAGCGTAATATTGTAGAGTGGGGATGGGTAGGATGTGCTTCACATCAAGCTTCTATGAAACAGTCTCTTGCTCCTGCTTAATAAGTGGTCGTGAGACTAGTAATTCCACAACTTTTACATTTTGTCTAACTTTGCCAGTTTAATGACAACATACTAACCTCCAGTAAAATTCTTCTCAAACTTGTGCATCCGGGTCAGAAGCACAAGCTTATACGATGAATATAAAATTCATTACCACTGCTGAGGAAATATCAAAACTAAAGCACATACTACACTCACAATGAACTTACTGAATTAGCTTTACCTGAAAAAGGGGAAAACATTTTTTTCCCCATAATTCCTTTGCTTCTTCTAAGCCTGTGAATCAAGGAATAAAGTGTCCCAATCTGCATCCTGTCTTTTAAAAAATATATGTTTTTTAAATTGATTTTTTTTTTTGAGAGAGAGAGAGAGAAACATTGATGAGAGAACAAAACATGGATTGGCAGCCCCCTTCACACCCCTGCCCCCTAGCGGGGATCAACCCACAACTCAGCATGTGCCCTGTCTGGGAATCAAACCATCAACCTTTCAGTGCACAGGAGGGAGTCCTGCTCAACCAACTGAGCCACATTGGCCATGGCTGCATCCTGTCTTTCGTAGAAAAATAAAAACCCAAGGGTGAGAGTTTACAGTTAAAGTATTAAGGATAAATGAAAAGCAGTGTGAGCACTAAACGCGTGCTGCAGAAAACAGAGCTGTGAAGTGTGTGTGTGTGTGGGGGGGGGGGCTCATTCTTTGAATGCTTATTAAACCACTGTTCCAAATGCTAGATGAATTATCCGTTGATAAAACCTTATCCAGTGGGTACGAATGTACCCCCCAATTCACAGATGAGAAAAACGGAGGCACAGACTACTCCAGTAAAACACCAAGATGCACCATAAGGGGTACAGGCAACAGAAAGCCCCAATGTTTCCCCAAAAACGCTGCGCTCTGAATCCCAGGGAGCAAGCTCCGTTTGGACTTTGGCGCCCTAGAGCGTTATTGAAGCAACTACTGCTGCACCGCACACCTGTGGAGAGGGCGCGTCAAGTTCAGAGACTGGCCCGGCGGTCCATCTCCAAAGGGACCCAGTGTAACAAGTGCAGGAGCGACGAGGGGGAGGGGACGGATCCTCCGGAGAACGAACCCCGAGTTCAGACCAGACGCTCAAGGACTCGGCTGATGGGCACGTGCGGAAAGGGAGCCCCTGAGCAAGAGTGGCCGCCACAGGGCTAGTCAAGAGGCTGCACTGGGAAAAGGACTCAGCTCTTGGCCACGTCTTCCCGGGCAGGTGCCCTGCGTCCTGCCCCTGCTCCCCCGAGGGCCCGCAAGAAGACCCCCACATGCATGTCGGTGCTGGGTCAGGACGGAATACAGAGGAGCGACTGCTGGGCCAGCAGCCAAAGGGGGTCCCGGCCAACATGGCCGCGGACCTCAGGCGGTCGCAGCAG